GAGGGGATTCTGTGGAATGTCGTTCGTATAAATTTAAAAAAGGGTAGACGAGAGCAAACTCCCTTGTGGCAAGCCTGCAAGGGTTTCTCTACATGTGGAGTATGCTTGTTTATAATGAACAACAAAGTTTCTATTGTACAGATAGGAATTAATGAGGTTTATGATGTAATCTGGGAATCCCAGAGTGATTAACTTGTGAGACCATTGTAACCGTACACAGTCGAAAGCTTTTGAAATATTAAGAAAGAGGGCAACAGTTATGCATCTCTTTTTAAAGTCATCAGCAATCAATTCAGTAACTTGATAAAGTTGATAGGTAGTAGAATATTTTTGCCGAAATCCATATTGTTGTGGAATAGGGATCTTATTCTCCTCGATGAAGTCTTGAATATGTTTTAATATCACTGCCTTGGCGATCTTGCTTAATGTAGATAACAAACATATCGGCCTGTATGAAGTAGCGATGGTAGGATCTTTACCCGGCTTCAGTATGGGTCCAATCACTGCTGTTTTCCAATTGGTCGGAAAGTGCTGAAGTTTGATCACAGCATTTATTAACTTTGTAAATTTGCATGGCATCTTGGGAACCATCTCCTTGATAATTTTATTGCTGATATTGTCCAATCCAGGGCTTTTTCGATTTTTCCTCTTCTCGATATAACTGCTAACTTCCGATGGCATAATTAAGGGTGTGTTGTTAGTGTTTGTTCTTGATTGGGTAATGAGGGAAGAGACTAAGTGTTCTCTTTGTGCACGAGGAATGTTGTGTGTTCAAAACTGAGAATTCTGATAATTGTCTGTGAGAGTGCTTTCTCAAAATCAATGTAAGCAATCCCAGTAGGGCCATTAATGGGCAGAATATTTGTGTTGCGTCTTTTGAACTTGGAAACCGCATTCCAGACAGAGTTATCATCTGCTGAAAGCGATTCTAAGTATCTGGCCCAGTCGAGTTGTGCATGTTTTTTAATAAGAGTCCTTATTTCTTAGTTAAGTCTATTCAGAAGATTTTTATCAGCAGAGCATCTGAATCTCTGCCATTGTTTCCGTGCATGATTTCTTTTTCTGATGAGCTCTCTGATAGCACTATTTTTATGCCTTTTCTCCTCTTTATTTTCTTTACTATTTTTCAACAATTCACAGTATAACTCCTCCGTAAAGTCATTTGTAAAAGTGTCTAATTCATCTCTCGTATGTATCGTATTGAATGTGTACTGAGTGTTGCTTTAACCTGCCCAGTTAGTAATAAGGGCTCTTTTGTGTAGTGTACTGTAAATATTGGTATTGATTTCCATCATAACGAGGTTATGATCTGAGGATAATTATGACAAGCTTTCAATGTTGTCAGGAAAGTTGATATTTTTCAAAATAAAGAAATCAATAACAGATGGTCTGCCAATACCATGGTGTGTTGGTTTAGCTGGAAATGCTAGGTTAATGTTGGCCACTTGAGCAAATTTGTGTATAATGCATCCGTGTTGATTAATATCCCAGCAATTCCACTCGCGGTGGGGTGCGTTGAAATCTCCACATATGATAACTCAATTGTAGGTATTTAATAATGTTTACAAATCTGCATTTACAGAGTTTGCAGGTGTGTATATAGGAAAATAGGTGGAGATAATAGTGATTGGTCGTGATGTGTTTGGAGTGAGTGTAATAGCTAAGACTTGTAAGGCTAAAAGCTGTGGTAATGGAGTGATATGATGAGAAATGAATCACTTAATTAAAATTAGCAGCCCTCCTCATGCATTTTCTCTAGGAGCATATCTGCCTTCAGTAGGTCGATCCCAACTGTGGGTGACATAATTGCAGGCTTAGAATGAATTTTGGGGACCAGGCATGTGTTCCTGTATGAGTAAGATGTCAGGACGGAATTCGTGTATGAACTCCTTGAGCTGGTAGGCTTTAGGGAGCAATCCATTTGTGTTCCATGTAAAAAGTGTTAATGATTGGCTGATATTACTCTGATACATGGTTCGAAATTTCACTTATGATTTCAAAAAACAGAAATATTTTATCCATAGTATCAGTAAGTGCATTTAACTTAGGAATGTATTTCTAAAATACATTATTCTTAACTGATATGTTTTGCATACCAAAAATATTATTTAAATTAGATAATTGCTTAATAAAAGTAACAAATTCTAAAACTTGACTTTTGTCATTCACATTTGGCATAACATTTTTTCTATTAGCATTTTTATTACTAGTATTACTATTATTGGTCTGAGCATTAAATTGAGTATTATTATGAGCATCAACTTCAGAAGTACTCACATTTTCATTTACATTTTGTGCAGCAAAGGACGATATGAGGGGTTTTCCAATATGAGATGGTATGCGAAGTTTGCCAAGTGAATTATTCTTAGCGCAAGCTGAAAAAAATATGACTAGATAAAGTTTTAAAATTTTCTCCGTGAATTTCACACCAAACTTTACAAAATTTAATATATAGGCATAATTTGCATCGTAGAATCGAAATATGGAAAAAAATTGACATGTATTTTCAGAAAAAGTCTAATTTTGTGTCAAAATACCTGTATTAGAACAATGCTATATATAAATCTAATACAGTACAAAGTCCGTAATCTTCGGCAATTCTGGATTAGGGGTTTTTCTGGATTATAGATCATCAATTTAAGTCTGGTAAGATGGCATACAGAAATTATAAAATTAAAAATATGAAAGCGTAATTTATGAAATCATGAAAGCATTTATGAATCTAAAAGGTATCAAAATTTACAAAAAAAAAAAAAAAAAAAACAAAGCTTAATATTTATTTGTTTACCTTTATTAAACATTTCGTTCAATGTAAGTTGTTTAAGTTGCTTTCGTTTTTATGTGCTAATACTTTCTTCTTTAATTCCTATAGACAGACATAATCTCTTTGTTCAGTTACATTGTTCCAAGTTTTGGAATCCTGTAATTGTTGTGTCGAGCATTCCAAACTAACTTGTCAATCGAAATTTTAATCGTTTTCAATGACTTTCTCTGTCACTTTCTTCACTATCGGAAGTGGTATTTTCTGGATCTAGAACCATACTACAGATTTTGCCGTCTGTTGATTGACGATTGGCGCATTATCGTCACAATGAAAAACTTCTGTTATATCATCTTCATTTATTATCGCTTCTCCACATTTCTTTAAAAAATCCAATAACTGGAAAATTTCACCTTTAGTTTGCAATATCTGAAAACCTTCAAATTCGCGGCTATCATCTTCATCACCCTCACGATGAAACATGGTAGCTGGCCATAAATTATGCCAAGCATTTTTTAACGTATCTGGGGCTGCATCCTCCTACGATCTTGTGATGCTCCACGCAGCAGATTTTATGCTAAAAAATTTCAAAAATGTCTTGAATAGTCTTGCCATTGTTCAAGAAATTTAACATATAGGCTGAATGACAGACGTACAATTTGGAGGGAAGAGTAATACGGGTACGTTATCTTTCACTAAAACTTTAAGTGAAGTATGTGCCAAACAGTTGTCAACAATCAGGACTATTTTTTGAGTCATCAGGTAAACCAACCGAATTCAAATGTTGCCGAGCCTCACGTATAAAATGACTTTCAAACCAATCATTCATCAACGCTTGTGTCATCCATGCTCTTTTATTTGCACGATATATAACGTGGAAAATTGTTACTCCTTTAAATGCTCATTCATCAACGCTGGTGTCATCCATGCTCTTTTATTTGCATGATATATAACATGGAAAATTGTTACTCCTTTAAATGCTCGAGATCGTGCATGTTTTCCAATTATGAAAAGTTTGCACTTGTGCATTCTTGCAGCATTTGCGAACACTAAAATCTTTGGTCTCACTTTGAAATCTTTGACACCAGTTGAAGCCTTTTCTGTAGAGGTTGCCAAGGTATTTCACAGTACATATTGCCAGAAAAGATCAGTTTTCATCAGCGTTGTAAATTTGTTCTGGAGATAATTGTTCACTAGTAATGAGTTCAATGAATTCATCTGCAAATTGTTCAGCAGCTTCAGTATCAGCTGAAGCTTTTTCACCTGAAAATTTTAATTGTCTTATACCATGGCGATTTTTTAATTGGGTTAACCAACCTGTCGAGTATGTGCACTCGATGTTTAAGTTAATTTTTTATGAAATATTTTGGCTTCAGCCATTAGCATTCGACCCATCAATGGCGCACTCTCGCTGTGATGCTGTCTTACCCATTCAATCATCACTTTATCATGATCGTCACTTTTAGCATAAGAAACACTTTTTCTGTTATTCATTTCAAGTGGGGTGTCGGAATCCTCAAAAAGTTCCTTTTTCTTTTTGCTTATGTCATATACAGTTGACTTTCCAATGTCATACTGCTTGCATAATTTTGTGACAGATATGCCTTTATACTTTTTTTTTTTTTTTTTTAATTTCAGCAATTCCACTTTTTCTTTGATGGACATCGAAACATGCTTTCGCTTTGTAGATCCTTTGGCAGCTCCAGAATTGGAAACTCTTTTTGACATAATCTAAAGTTCAAGCTTAAATTTTATGAAATTGCTGTATCAATCTGCAAAAAATAATAAGCCGGATCCAATTAGAAGATTAAGGAACAGCACAATCTGCAACATTAACTGAAATGCCTTAGAATCTGTAAAGATAATTTTAGCCTAGCTTTTACCGTTTGTTATACATTAAACGTGCATGCGTAAAGCATACAAAAAAAAAAAAAAGTTTGGGGCTTTGAGGTCCAGATTATAGATCATTCTGGTTAATGTACTTCCGGATTACGGACTTTGTACTGTATATATCCTAAGTCGTGCTTTCGAGACATGAAAAATGCACTTTGAATTTTGTCAGTCTTCCCAGTAGAAAGGGAGATACAGATCTCTCCCTTTTGGGGGGGGGGGGGGGTGCAGTTTACAATATTTATGAGATTTAATTAAAATTCATTTCTAATTTTTAGATTTTTTCAAATCTTTTGTTATATAATTTGCTGTAATAAAAGAGTAACATTTTCATTCTTCATTTCTATAGTGTGGAATTTTACTGAGTATGGTATTAATCTTCATTAGTGGAATGCTTACTCGTTTAGCCTGTTATTTATTACTAAAATCTGCTATTATGGCCAGGAGAAGAAATTTTGAATTTTTAGGTAAGTTTTTTTTATCACTTTTATTAATCCAAAAGGACTATTAGTTTTGAAACATATTTTTGCATTGTTTTACTTTTCATTCCCAAATTTCAACATTTGAGTTTGTTGAAATTTGGCAACTTATCTTTCAGATTTAATCTCTCCGTTACTGATTAACTCTCTGAGGTATTTAAAAGCATAAGATGCAAATCTTAAGAATTATTATTTCTTTTACTTTTTAATATGATTGATTTAAATAAAAATGCATTTAATTTATGATATATTTAATTTAAAGCATTAATTATTTTTGCAAATTATCTTCTTATTTTTAAAATATACAGAAATTATATAATTTGAATTTAACAAATATGCTCTATTTGTAAAAGCTAATAAAAATTTTAAATTTAATTAAGAAATTTTAATTGCAAAAATAAAGAAAAAATAATTATTGCTGCAAACTAATTTACAATGTCATTTAAATTCTAAGAGCATATGTAAATTAAGTGCACATATCTAAAACTATGAAAAAAAATATTCCAAAAAATTAATCTCAAAAATTTTTAAAATGAATTTTTAAGACCAAACCAATTTGCATAAGTGAATAACTGTTGAGCAGGCAGGAGACAGACTTATCAAGGGGAAGTTGCCTCCAAACCTAACTCTTCGGTTATACAGTTCGTGTTTCGTGATCCATATAGGCAAGTCTATAGTAGAATTCAAAACCAAAAGTAAATCTAAAAGTTGTGAAATACTAAAAAAGAAATTTAAACTAGTAGGAATTTTGAGAAATTTAGCAATTAAATTATTAGGAATTAAAATATTAATTAAATGTCAAAATTTAAAAGAGAAAACCAAAGTAATTTAGAAACTCTTGCCTATTGAAAACTTCCCCTACAGGAATTATGCATGTAAACCTAAAATAAACTATATACAATCTATAAATATAAAAAAAAAATACTAAAAAGGCTAGTAAATATAAAGTTTTAATGTAATTTACCTAGAACTACACATTTGAATTCCTGAGAGTGGATTAGCATTTGCTAAACTGAGGTTGAGTAGTTTGTTATTGCTAACTGTATAAATAGAGGGTGCTAATACAATGTAAAGTTGTGTATTAAGCTGCTGCCTGTGAGAGCTATTGTATATGCTGTAAACTTTAAGTAATGTAAAATGTAAAATGCTTATTTTGTGTGCAAAAATGTTGCTAACTTTGAGGCATTGTAAAAATGTGTAAAAAAATGTAAAAATTGTAAACTGCTACTGTATGTGAAAATTGCTACCATTTTTCATGGCTTTAGATAAGTGCACTTAATTTACATATGCTCTTAGAATTTAAATTATATCGTAAATTAGTTCACAGCAATAATTAATTTTTTTATTTTTGCAATTAAATTTTCTTAATTAAATTTAAAATTTTTATTAACTTTTTATGAATAGAGAATATTTGTTAAATTCAAATTTCATTCCTTGCAGCAATGGTGCAAGAGAATTATTTAAATTTAATTTAACTTTACTATATGCTTGTGAAACAGAAGGTATATAATATTCCCATGTTAGTCTAAATGTATATTTATCTAGTATTCTATCAAGTGTTTCACTATTCCATCTGGTCCATTTTTATTGAGAATCCCTCTCTTTTTCTCTTTTTTTTTTAAATAATTTTGTTGTAGCACAATGCCCAATAATGCCTATTTTCATTTTAGCTTTCCATACTTTTGGTTCTACTGGAAAATTGGCTGTTGAGATGAGGTATATCATTTTTTTGGATTTTGTGTTCATTTCACTTGTTCATATTCTTTTTATCAGTATTTTATCCCGTAATTGTAATAATCTGTTTAATAATGTTTGGTTATTAATATACGGACATTATTAATATATTCACATTTCATGGAGATGATAATTTCATTAGGAATTTTGCCACTTGTGCAGATACTGAAATCTGCAACCCAGTGTCTCCCTAGATTCTAAATATTTTTCTACCCCTAAATTTAGCTGCCCAATACATCTCCTAAATTCCAGTAATTTTGGCATCTTTAAAATTTGCTGCTCGATGCTTCTAAAAATTTTGCCACCCTTAATTTATCCTGCCTGGCTCTGAGAACCCATTTATTATTTATCTCTAATTCTGAAGTTATGTGTATTCAAAAACAAAGAAGTCATATAATTTCACTTCTTCATCATGATCTTCATTAAACACTTCAATGTACTATTCTTCTCAGCATAATTTTTAAAAAATATATCAGAAAATACTCATAGTATGTGGCCAAGAGAAAGTCTTAAATGAAAAGTCTAATTACACTCTTTCTGACTAACTTTCTTTAGTTTGAGTCATGAAAAGAACAATAAATTTATAGATCAAACCATTATATCTCATGATAAATTAGCAATAATATATACATTTTACAATGAAAAAAATTACCTTTCGAAAATTAAGGATAAGTTGTCAATTTCTGAGTAATGTGTTACCTTAAAAATAATAATTCATAAATATGAATTTATCAGAAGTCATGAAAAAAGAAAGAAATTATTCAGTTTTCATTTGCATTGTTTAGAGCAGAAAAAGAGGCGCTGTGCCAATGCCAATGATTATAAAATACAGAGTGCCTGTGCTTCAAAACCATGTATTTCCACATCAGAAATATATCTAAATAGTGAGCAGAAATAGGAAAAATGTATAAATAGTTATCATGATGCACACTAGAGGGAGCCACATTAGGTCGAGGAAGTTTAGGGATAGGAAAAATTAATTATTTATTTTTTTTGGAAGATTTTTGGTTTTAAACATTTTTTATTTTATTTTTCAATTTTACAATTTTTTTGGTATATTTATTTATTTATTATTTATTTTTTGGGGTTGTATTTATGTTTTATAACACATAAATACAACACTAAAGCAGACAAGAAAGATTTTACAGATTAATAGGCTCATTGTCGTATGGCGCTAATAATAGTGAAGTAAAATATTAAATTTTCATGAGGAAATATCCAGGGCAGATTTATTTCTGTGAGCATGATGTGATTAAGTAGTGAACAGATTGATACAATGCAGAAATTACCACTTTTCAGTAAAATTGCAGTAGAAGATAGCAAGAGCCACTGTGGGAATAAAAGTATTTCAATATTTGATAGGCTAAATATGGAAACAGACTTGAGATTGTTACTTTCCAAATTTCACTTATCAGTTTTTATTTAACTTATGTAAGGAATTATTATTCACATTAAGTTTAGATTTCTGTAATTATTATTTTCTAATATCAATTTAGCTGTAGTTTTTGTGGTCTGTCAAAAGTTCGCTTTTATTCAGGGTTTTCACTCTTAATGAAGGAAAATCACAGAACTTATTGACCATGTTTATATACAAGCTTTACATGTGCATGTTGTTCAAGATCAATCCTGTTAACCAACTGTATAACACGTTTGTGAGTGTATTTATTCTTCAACATTTGAAAAAGTTTATGTTCAGTTTTTTGGGCAAGCTTGACCTTGAATAACACATGCATAAGAATGCTCATATATGAGCATTTAATATATTATACATTATAAGTTTATTTTGTTAATTTGTTTACTTGCTTTTAATTTTATTGTTGATTTAAATACTAAAAAATTCTATGTAATGTATATATTGAAATAATAATAATTTAAATGAATATATGTGACAAATAAATTGTTTTATATTGTTAAGTAAATATGTAGCTTATAAATATTACCAAGAAGCAATTAAATATTATATATAGACTTAAAGTTTTCAGTTTAGTGAGTCATTGTTTAAGCATAAGATGCAGTCCGTTTCTAAAAGTAGACTTAACAAGTGTGATGACATTAGGTAAAAAAATAGCTCACTCATTTTACAATCTCTGTAGAAAATGTAATTTAATTTTAAAAAATTAGTTCAGAAAGGGAGAAAAAGAATTTGATTTAATATTGTCAATAAAACATAGATTTTGCAAAATAAATTTTTGCAAAATCTATGTATTTAAGCAAAAATATGCAAAATCTATCTATCTTAAAAAAATATGCAAAATCTACCTATTTAAGCAACATTATTTGTGGAAATAAAACGTGGTAAGCAAGGAAGTAAAATCCTCTCATTGCATATTTTTCACTTATAAAAATATCTGAATGAGCTGTTGTTCTTGTTTTGAATTTTTTTCTGCTTTATAAAGCTTTCTCCAATAAATAAGTTATTTTCTCTTCAGGGATAGATAAGTATTGAAAATTTCAAAGGCATTATATTAGGTACTTAATTTAAAGAGAAGCATGCCAGTGTAAAATTTAAAATTAAGCAAAAAACATATTGTTAGATTGGTACATATTTAAAATTAACAGTTTTTGTGAAAGTGTATATCAATTTAAAGGTGCTTTTTTTGTAATCTAATTTTAATTTATATTAAACATTCACTCAGTTTATTTAAGGAGATATATGCTTATTATTATTTTCTTTGAAATATGAATTAGTTGTTGTTGTGTTCAGCCTAAAGTAATTTCTATAAAAAGGAAGGAAAAAATATGCTATGCTTTAATAAATCCAGGGAAGGTAATTTCAGAATTCCAGTTTATAATTAATAATAACAGAGATAAAGAATTGTGTTTATTGCTTTTAAATTGTTTAGTTTAATAACAGATTAAATTTGAAAGAAAAATTAAGTGACTGTGCATGGAAGATAAAAATATTTTATATTCAGCAGTGGTAGCATATTTCTTTTAAATCGCTCATCTCTGTTTTATTAAATTTGGAAGGCAAATATGTTACACTTTGCCAAATGGTCACACATTTCTTTAAAATCTCTGAGTTTTATTATTAAATTTAAAACATAAATATCTTATGCTTTCCAGAGTGAAACGACATTGCTTTAGAATTTATGAATTCACATAAAATAGGAAATAAATAAAAAGTTGGCTTCGAGGTGTACATGTGCACGTGGTGGACTACGTGTGTTTAAAATTTGGTGGTCTAGGTATTGCCATTTTACTTAAATATAGGAACATGTGTATAGATTCTTAAATAAAAATGATAATATTTATTTCCAATTTTAAAAATTCCATTCATTTCAACTTTGCCTAAAAATAATAGTTCATAATTTACAAAAAGTCTGAAATAAATAAAATAATTTGAATTTTGTTATGATTATTTAGTTCTAAATCTCCTCAAATTTACATTTGCTAAACATATAGCATAAAATAAAATATTGCAGTATTTAATCAAATATCATTTCTTTAATTTCAAATGTCCAAAATAATTTATCTTAAATCTTTGTTTTTTTTAATTGATTTAAAAATTTTTTTTAGTGTTATTGGTTTTCTGATTGGCGTTTGTATTGCATTTTTTGTTGTTATTGGGGACCTTGGACCTCCTCTTGCTGCTGAATTCCTAACTATTGAAGTAAGTGTACCTTTTTGTATTTTATGTAGGAAAAATCTTGCAGTTGTTCAGAGTTTATTTATTGTTCTAACTAGGTAAAGGTGCTAATATTTTTTCCCCCTTAATGAGAAAAAATTATTATATATGCATGTATTTTTTATCATATTATTGATAATTAACAGTTTTATTTTGAGAGAAGTGGCTCGTAATATAGAGCTAATAACAACTTTATTAACTACTACTAGCTTCGCTGCCAGCCTTCGTCTGGCTTTTAAATGTACTAGAAAAATGGCTGAAGGGAGCACCAAACTTTAAATTTAAAAACTGCGTAGAATTTTACTCTGCAGAACAATTTCATAAAAAAAAAGTTATTATGTATAACAAAATTACAATGAAATAAGTAATATCCCTTAATACAAATATTAATTATCCTAATAAATAAATTAACCAACTTCCCTTTGCAAAATCTAAAGAACTCAAATGATATAAAGGAGGTTAAGAACTTTGTTTCCTAAACAAATCACTCAAAACTTTTCAATATCTTAAAGACAGTGAAATGAGCAATAAATAACATAAAAGAATACAAAAAACAAAAAATTCTGAAATGCAAAGTATAATTAATGATATTTTATCTTATATTTTCAAGAGAAAAAAAATTACAATAAAATAAGCTATATACCTTAATACAAATATTAATTATCCTAATAAAAAAATTAACCAATTTTCCGTTGAAGAAACAAAATCATGCAAAACTTTTCAATATCTTACAAACAGTGAAATAAGCAAAAAATAACATGAAAGCAACTAAAAAAAAAAAAAAAACATAAAAGTCCACGCAGAATTTTACTCTGCAGAACAACTTTATCAAAAAAAAATCAATAAAAATGTATTGTATATATATATATAAATGACAATGAAATATGCCTATCTCTTAAAAACAGTAACGTAAGAAATATGATGAAAAATTGTTGCCAAACCCATATTTCTAAAAGAATGAAACTACTAAAAATGATGCGATTTCATCAAAAATCTATCAACAACAATAAGAAAGGAAATTGTTGCCAAAAATCACATTTGTAAAGATATGAGATGTGAGAAGTGTACTTGGAAGCTTCATTTAAATTTTTTTTTTTAAAAATACAAAATATTATAATTTTTTCCAAAATTCTTTTTGTATAAGCAGTCGCAAGGATGAAAGTTTAACGTGTCCAAAAATCAAAGAAAAATAAACTGTACATTTTTAAACATAAACTTTTTTTAAAAAAATCCCGTTGAAAAGGTGTTAAGCTCACTTTGTTAAATAAATTCGTATTTAATCGATTTATTGAAACACAAAATTTATCTTAAGTTCGTAAAATAACTAAGTGCCTACGTTTCATGACGATGTGAAAATGGAGTGTGTAGAGTAGAATCTCGCTTTCCTATAGCCCATTATGTCTCAAAATGACGCAATTTCGTCACATACCATAAAATAAAAAAAATTCGAAAAAATCGCTTCGAGGTGCACTGGCTCTTGTTTAGATGCACCTATGTACCAAAATTTCGTAGCCGAGGGTCTATTAGCTTTACGCGCAGCACGAACGAAAGACACACACACTAACACACAGACAGACTCTTATTTTATTATATGTAGAGATTATGTATCAATTCACAAATATTATATTAATTCATATTAATTTTTTATTGAAAGTAATTCATATCTGAATAGATCTTGTTATAATAATATTGTCAGAAGTAGTATATGTTCAAATTATTTTGCTGCCACAAATTTTTAAATCACCCAAGTCGTACTTGGGCATGACTACTAAGTGATTGAAAAATGTTTTTGTCCTATCCAGAATTTATAATTTGTATTTAAGTATTGCTTATATATTTTATGTATATTATTATTATTATTTATTTTATGTATATTAATTGTGTTATTATTATTACTTTTTTTTTTTATATAGAATTCTCCTAATTTGCGAACCAATGTCTTAATGCTTGTAGGACTTTGTGTTGCTCTACCTCTTGGAATGTTGAGAAAAATTGATAGTCTTACAAGTTTAAGTGCACTGTCAATTGCATTTTATTTGTGTCTTATTTTAAAGGTGAGGTTTAAAAAATATCTTGCAATGTAACAATTATTTCTTCAAAATTATTTCAACTGACATCATTTCTTTTTTTGATGCCAGTAATAATAATCATCTTTAATCATTAAAATGGACAAAACTAACCCTTATATTCCACATTGTTTTTTCTTTTTTTTCAAAGAAGAAAAGAAACTCTGTGTTTTTACTTCTATCAATAAACTTTCAGCATCAATATAAATTAAATTTTGACTAATTTCAAATTAGCATCCATATCTTCAATTTAATACTAAATCTTGCTCAATATTCATATAGTTGCGTTTTTTCCTTCTGACACCAGTTGTTATGTTATTTTCTTCCTTCATGTTTGTGCGAGGTTCGTGTGAATTTGGAGTGAATAATGACAACAGCAGTTGACGAAGTATCGAAACACACCTTATTTATCAATATTAATCAGGACAGCTCCAAAACACTTTTACAGTCGTCGAAGATCTACAATAAACATGCTGGAACAATCAGCGACACACCCTTCACACTGTCAGGCAGTAAAAATGGATACAGCTTTACTGCAAAGCACCAGAGTACAGCACCTGACTCTGATCGGTCGTTCTCGGAACTCCGCATACTCTCGATATTCTCCTCGCTACAACTCGCGATGCACTCGACGACACACAGAGCACAGCTCCCGACTCTTCGGTTCAGTCGTTCCCAGAGCTTATCACACTCTCTTGATGATGCACTGACGGCGATACACTAAGAGACTCTTCGATGCACTCGACGACCAACTAGGCGCTAGATTTCGAGACACTGGCTCAATGACTGACTATCACCTTACTATACGAGGCTCACTCTGACTGTGGACCAGCAGAGTTTATATAGCTTTCGGCTTGTGTTCAAGAACATTCTGGGCTAAACCGGTAAGAATCCGATCCAGAAGGTTCTCCATCCATCCATGGCATATTGTCAATTTTGTTGCCAAATGAGCGATTTCTTGCCAAATGTTGCAACCCTGCCTTCCCTTGCCATTTTATGGCAACCCTAACCTTGCTTTGCGGGGAAGCTATCTTACCTTGCCTGGACATTTCTTAACAATATACAGCCAAAAGTCTTTAATCCGGACTCGGCGGGACTTCAGTGATTCCGAATTATCGATTTTTCTGGATTATAGGTCATCAGTTTAAATCTGGTAAGATGGCATGCAGAAATTATAAAATTAAAAATATGAAACCATAATTTATGAAATAAAGAGCAATTGTGATCTAAAGGGTATCAAAATTTACAAAAAAAAGCTTAATATTAATTTGTTTATTTTATTAAATATTTCTTTTAACACGCGCATGCGTGAAGTATACATTGCGCATAGTCGAAATTAGAAAATTGCAACCACAAAACTATTTGATGTGTATTCGTGATATTTACAATGACGAGGAATTTGATTTAAATCATATCAAAGACGGAGTGCATCGAGATGAAATACTACATTTAGTAAGGAATTATAACCTGAATAAAGTAAAAACATGTGCCCTGAAGAAGAGTAGTGCTGACAGATCAACTTCCAGTTCATAGTACACTGCGACGTTCTCCCCCCCCCCCTGAGAGCAGTGTGAAATTGATAAACATATTTCGGAATGGTTAGAGAATCAAAGGATATGCCTTTATCCATTTTTTGCAGCAATTCCACTTTTTGCTTGATGGACATCGGAATATGCTTTCGCTTTGTTGATCCTTTGATAGCTCCAGAATCAGAAATTCTTTTTGACATAATCGAAAGTTCAAGCTTACTTTAATAAAATTGCTCTAACAGTCTGCAAAAAATAATAAGCCGGATTCATTTAGAAGGTTAAGGAACAACGCAATCTGTAACATTTATTGAAATAGCTTAGCTTATACCGTCCGTTATACATTAAATGTGCATGCATAGAAGTATTATGTGCATGCGCTAATGCATTATGCATTGACAAATGCGCAGAAAGTTTGTAGCTTTGAGGTCCCGATTATAGATCATTCCGGATTACGGACGTCCGGATTAAAGACTTTTGACTGTATTAATGTCAAATATTACACAACATCATGTTGTTTTAAGGGCATTTTTTGTTTTTAAAGTAGAAGAATTTCTAGTAATAAAACATTTATAATTTGTGTCAAATTGGTAATGGTAATTTATATCTATAGCAAAAATAAATTATTTATATTTGTTCTCTAACTCTGTTTCCTGAAACTGTCACATATAACAAACAAGCTGTGGTTTTGAAATGAAAAACTATTATGAATAATGAAATAAAATGAAAGTAGAATTCTACCAAAGTTTTTTGGTTCTTAAAGAAGAGAGACCTGTGACTGACTGATCTTGAAATTCTTAGAGTTTTGTTTAAAACCTATGCCAAAATATGGTAGCTGCTTTGCCTAATTTTAAAGTTTACATTGGCATGTTTTTCTTTCTATTTGAGTTCTGAGAGTATTGGCAATATTATTGCCTAAGACCTTTAATTGATCTTCTAAATTACAGTTGTAATTGTTAAACAAATTGGGTAATTTAAAATGTATTAAACATGCTTTTTAATTATTTGTATTTTAATTTTATTTTTAAATAGTTTATCTGATTGGTATAATATAAAATATATTGAATTAGAAATTTTAATGAAATTGTTAGTGGATGGAAAGTAAACATGGGCTTCATTTCTGCATTTATTGGCCGTGAGAAGAACAAGTTCATACAACAGATATAGTTCGGCTCTCGCAGGCGCCTTTTGTAGAGAACAAAACCAAAATTTACATAAGGTACAAACATGGCACCTACCTTGAAATACTATTTCAACATTCAGTGGTTAAAAATTCAGCAAATTCAAAAAAGCACAATACAGTATTAAAATCATGATATAATACTTAACTTATAATACAGATGAATTAAAACTCAAAGTGGTAATGGACACAGTTTTGTAATATTTCTTTTGACCATGCCATCTGAAGTCTTTTAACAGTTACAACCCTAACAATATTATCAAGACCAGGATGTAATTGAGTATTCTACCCATTTTCCATTTAGTTGGAAGAAAGTTATCATCCTTTAAGAGACACAGATCATTAACTTGAAGATTTTTAGTTGGCAAAAGCCATTTTGGTCTTTGTTGTAATCGACACAGATATTCTTTGTGCCAATGCTTCCAAAGTTGTTGAACCATTTTTTGAATATGTTGCCATCTAGTGAGATGGAAAACTTTAATGTAATTTGATTCAAAAATGCTTGTTAATGATCTACCAATAAGAAAATGACCAGGCATCAATGCTGATTTGATGAAAGTCATTTGGATCATTAGATAAACTTTTTAAAGGTTGCGAGTTAAAACAAGCTTCTGTTTGTGTGAGAAATGTTTCAAATTCTTCATATGTCAATCTCTCCTCACCAACTACTTGTTTTAAATGGCATTTTGTTGATTTTATTCCAGCTTCCCAGAGTCTACCCATATGTGGCGCACCTTTAATGTTTAGATGCCATTTAATGTCATTATTAATCAAATATCTCCTAACATTTTGATTATAATTTGCAGATCTAGCAAGCCTTTCAAATTCCATGAGTTTGTGTTTTGCTTCAACAAAATTGGAACCGCCATCACTATATATATCACTGCTTTTGCCTCTGCGGGAAATGAACCTCTTGAGAGCTGCAATAAAAGCATCTGCTGAAAGATTAGTCACTAATTCGAAGTGAATAGCTCTTGCCGTAAAACAAACAAATAGAGCTATATATGCCTTGAATGACCTAGAGCCTCGACCCTTATTTGCTTTAATTTGAAAAGGACCTGCGTAATCTACTCCACAGCGCAAAAACCCAGGAGCAGGGGAAACACGACTAGATGGCAAATTGCTCATCAATTGATTAGTGACAGACGCTCTAATTTTGCACACTTTATACATTTTCTAACTAAATCTCTGATAACAGCTCTACCACTTATGATCCAATATTGTTCTTGAATGCAAGATTGCATGAGTTGTGGACCTGCATGCAAAAGTATTTTATGGCAATGTCTAACAATGAGATGAGTTAAAATGTGCCTCTTTGGCAGCAAAATGGGATGCCTAAAACCATATGCAAGGTTTGCATATCGCAAGCGACCACCCACCCTGAGAATACCTGACTTATCTAAAAATGGATTTAAAGATAAAATTTTACTTGTACAAGATAATGATTGATTTCTGCTTAATGTGTTAATTCCATTCTTAAATTCAACGTATTGCATTAATTTAATTAACACATGCATAGCTTTAGATAATTCACTAGTTTTTAAAAATCCATTTACCTGATCTTCTGAATTTTTACAGTTATTTGCAAACCTCAGACATAATGCTGTAACATGTTTAAGTTTGGTGAGAGAAGAATGTTTATAAAATAAATCATAAGCATCTGTAATGTGACTGGCAGCAGTTGTTGACTGTAAAGCACATCTTTGCTTGGGCATAGAATCATTCAGTAGTGGTGCAGATAATGCTGGCTAAAAAGGAAATAAATCATACAATAAATCAGGACCACGCAGCCACAATGAAGTAACCAGTGCTAATGATGACACACCACGAGTTGCAAGACCAGCAGGATTAGTATTTCCACTCACATGATGCCACTGGACAGGAGAGCATAAAGTCTGGATTTTTGCTACTCTGTTGGCAACGAAGGTCTTCCATCGGCTTGCATGAGATCCTATCCAGGCTAATACAATAGTGGAATCAGTAGGAAAATAAGCTTGTGATATAGAAGTATTCAAAGCTTTACAGGTGAAATCCATTCAATTTAGTCAACAGGAATGCTCCACAAAGTTCCAATCGGGGAAGTGATATGGTTTTTAGTGGTGCAACTCTTGTCTTGGCTATCACCAACTGAACATTGATTTGTCCAGTATCTAACACAGAACGATAATAAATTGCAGCGGCGTATGCCTTCTCTGAGGCATCACAAAACCCATGCAGTTGAAACTGGTTATCTGATTCAACCAACAAGAATCGTGAAATTTTGATACTTTCAATAAATAACATATCTTCTGCAAGTTGTTTCCATTCACATTCAATATCTGGAGGAACCTTTTCATCCCACTGCAACTGATGTTTCCACAATCTTTGCATGATCAATTTATACCAAACCATGATCGTTGCCAACCATCCAAGAGGGTCAAAGGTCTTTGCGATTATTGAAAGTAGTGTTCGTTTGGTTAAAACCTTGATGAATTGACTTTGAATAAAAACATATCTGAAACTGGATGCCACAGGATACCTAACGTTTTTACAATATCATCATTGTCTATGTTTAAAGAAACATTTGATAAGTACAAATCTGGATTAGTTGAATTCAAGACTCCTTTGTTGTTAGAAGCCCATTTTCTTAAAACAAATCCTGCACGTAACAACATCTGATTCAATAGCATTTGTAATTCTGAACTGGCTCCGGACATCAAATCATCAACGTAGCTTCAGTAACTGAACTGGCTCTGGACATCAAATCATCAACGTAGAAGTCCCTAATGCATGTCTTGGAAGCTAAAGGAAAATTAGTTGCTTCTTCTATTGCTAACTGCTGTAAACATTTTACCGCAAGGTACGGTACTTCACCTTTCACAGAAAGCTTAAGATATTGCAATTTTTGACTGTCATTTAATGTACTATTATTTCCAACACTGGTAAGAAACAAATCCCTAAATGATATCCAATCAATGTAATTAGAAGTAAACACTGGCAGTTCTATGCGAGGAAGTTTCAAGCCATTTGCATTAGCATTCATTATATCTTTGGCTGAATTACTAAGTTTTCTTGATTCTTCCTTTAAAGTAATTTTTAATACATCCAATTTAGAAAAAAATTCATGCATTTCTATTTCATACTTATTAAACTCTGTGTCAGAACAAGTACCAAGAATGTTATCGTTTAAACAGTTCACTTCAACACTCGATGAAACTAACATCATTTTCATACACTTCAATGACAGAAAAAGAATTTTCTCGATTTTGTAAACCATTTACTTGGGAAATTAAACGAGTCAACTTACCCTTAATGATTCGCTTTTGCTTTAAAATTGATTCCATATTCCTGCTGCTATTCTCACAATGCAGACAAAAATAAATCCATTTTCTTTGCACGAGATGTCCTTCTATTTCAGAACGTTCAAAATGTCTTGACACTTCATCCATAGTATTGCGCTGGTTTATGACGGACCATGTTAGTGGATGGAAAGTAGACACGGACGTTTGTTATTGTGTGTATTGGCCATGAGAAGAACAAGTTCGTACAATAAATGTAGTTCGGCGCTCGCAGGCACCCTCTTGCAGAGAACAAAATCAAAATTTACATAAGGTGCGAACAGAAGGATTGCACCATTATTGTAACTAATGAAATATACATCTAACATCAGCAAATATACCTTAGTATTCAGTAATCAATTATGGGCAGCTTGTATAATTTAAATTTGAGTTATTTCTCTCTCTTTCTCTCATTAACATGTAAGCCATATTAAAATGATGATAATAATAACATCTATAAATGTAGATGAAAGTCACCAGTGGAATGAATATATTTGAAAAGAAGCTTTTGAGAAGAGTAAGTTTTTTTTTTTTTTTTTTTTTTTTTGTGGGGGAAGGGGAGGACATTAGGAAATGGCAAAATGTTAAACACCTAACCATACATGTAGCTTTGGTACTAGGTATTCTTATAGCTTGAAAGAATATTTTTATAAAAATGCTTAATTAAATAGTTTTTCTTATGTGTTTTATGAGTGCAAGCCAGTTTCTCTTATAAAAAGCCTTCATGAAGGCCTTTGTCTGTTTTCTGTAACTATTAACCACCTGCCATTTTAACTCTGTGAAGGGATTTTATTATGTAACTCATCTATTTAAGTATTTCATTCTAAAATTGCTGCTTTATTAATATTTGTAACAGTTAAATGGCCAGTTACAATCACCATTTTAAATTTTTAAGGCGATTCAATCATGAACTCGTTTGATGAAGCAAGTTTTTGCATACCAGAATGTAAGCTTCAAAATATCAAAATCTGGAAATAATAGATCTTAGCTGATCAGCAGGACAGATGCAGAAAAATATAACTTATTTTCACTAATGGCCAAATGGAAAAAATTGTTGAACAATGGTAATTCAGCTCTTACTCAGTTACTAGCATATAAGCTATTTGCATGAAGGTTTCATAACTTTCCCCATGTATAGTGTAAATACAGGCCAATTTCCCTTAGAAGTCCTGTTGATAGTTGCCTTTCTTATTCAGTTAGCTTCAACCATACATTTGTAGTGTTTTTAATGTTTAGTACTGTGTGTTTATTTCAACTATGTCAAGATTATTTTTTATTGAATTAATTTTTAGTATGGTTTCAAAACATAAAATTATATGATTTACATGAAAGGAAACAGTAAAGAATAAAATCAGGTTAGAGCCTAAGGCCTGCATGAATGCATGTGCAGTTTCTTTTGCATCATGTTAATAGAATCCTTTTGTACAAAAATAGGCATTGGGTTAATAAAGTTTATATGCTATATTTGCTAATTAATTTAAATAATACTTCATTTACATGTTTATAATACTCTCTAAGCAACTAAAAATATAAATAGTGGGGAAAGCCATGAAAATCGAATGCAACCGACTTGTTCGCAAAGAATTTAACCTGAGTATCCACTTGGCCACTTGTGGTTATCTGTTAAACAGTATTTGTCATATTTTTTTCTACAAATAAGGCAAAATCTATATTCTATTTTTTACATAATGGCATATAAATATTTGCTTAATAATAACAGCAAATAACACTTGATAATCTTATACTAAAAACAGTCAGATGTATTAAAATAACTTGACTTTGAAATATTTACGAAAATCATTGCATATTAGTTACTGTACCATTTGTTTATAATGTGATTTGACTAGTCTTACATTTGCATGAATGCAGTTTCTGAAATTCTGAATTTGAGCATATCAGTTACATTCCAAATACTGTGTGATTGCATAAAAATATGCATTAAACTTAACGACATAATGTAATGAAAAAGTCGAAACCTTAAATCAATTTCAAGAGAATTATGTGTCTGTAAATCATAAAAGCTGACAAATCTGTAAGAAATAAGAGCTAAAGAACTATAATTTGTGATATATCCAGTAAATAATATATATGAATATTTACAGCATGAATGTAATTAGTGAAAGATGTTTCTACACAATATATTATGTATTGTTATGAAGATTAAGCTTCATCCATTAAATTTAATATTTGTAGTTACGTCAAACAATTAAAAAAAATTGTTGTTAGTTTATGGATGTAATTAGTTCTTCTATCATTCACAGTTACTTTTATTCTGAAATTAATGCTGTGATAAAGAAAATCTTAATTGTTGCTATTACTAGAGCATCAAAATATATCCTTATATGTGTTATTGATGTTTTAAAAAATATACTGTACTCTTTTTATCTATAGTTCCTGACATTAGTTTTATAGCATTTAATTTTATTCAATTTCTAATTATGTGGGTGATTTCAGATTTTTGCAGAAGCTGTGCCAAATCTAGCTCTTAATGAATGGTGGCATGAAGTCAACTGGTGGCAATCTGATGGCATACTTCCATGTTTACCAATATTTTCTATGGCCTTATCTTGCCAAACGTGAGCTTAATTTAAAAAAAAAAAATTTTAATTTTGGATAAATGTTGCTATATTTGCTTCATTCGTTATTCTGCTGTGTTTCTTTAAAATATTACTAAATGATTCTTTAATAAAAACATTTTAGCTTAATTTCCGGTTTTTCAAAAATTATGTTAAATGTAGAAAGTTCTTCCATATTAAGTATTTTTTATTATTCCAAGCTACTTTGTGTAATTTTGCTATTGCATAAATATAAAATTATAATTTATTCCTTCATAGGACAATGTCTGGTAAAGAATATTCTCTAGAAAGTTACATGTACCAACTTGATACTTCCAAAATAAACAATAATAACAAAAAAAACTTTCATTGCAGGGTTATTTAATCTGTGATAAAGTTTTCTAAATGTAAATAAAGTATACCTTGTAAGGATCTTAAGTTTTACTAACGTTTATTTTATTTTAAATCTTTACTATCACTTCTTATTTTCTACTTCCGGCCAGAATTATAAGCGTGAAGGAGTTTATGCAAAGTTGTCTGGCGAACGCCAAGTATTTAAGTGTGGCCTTTTTGCCAAGCAGAGAGGAGAGGAAGCCGTGAGTTCGAAGCAGGCCGCTTACCTTAGAAGTTACGCAGTTGCTACTTTGCCTTCCAGGCCAGAGGTTTTAATCCTCTTGATAAATTAAACGTATTGTAGTGTTCACAGTCTCTGTGCTACATACGCTTCCTGTTATTATAAGGCCAATCTTATTCTAAAGTTAAATTAGAGTTTAGTTTTATTTTGATATCTTTTAAGTTAGACCCCGAGTGGAGGGTCATTGTATTCCGAAGTACGGAAGTCATTGTATATAAAGAAAAAAATAAAGGGTTTTGTATACCCTTCGTCTGTATCCTGTCTACTTACTACAATTAGTGAACATAGCTTTAGTAAGCTCTCTGTTCTAGTCAGGTCATTGTATGTTTCCGAAGAAGGTTAGAAGAAACATTGAACCTGATAGTGGCGCCCGACGAAGAATAACCATGGCCGAGTTTCAAGAAGAACCTGTGCTGCCTGCAGAAGAAACGGCTCAGAATCCAGAAATGCCAGCTGCCGCCCTGGAAGGATTTGGGTATATTGTCCAGACCATGCGCGCTTCGATGAAACCAGAAGCAACGTTTAATGGAAACTCACAGGTAACCAGTTTTTTGGAAAAATTGGATGACCACTTCATGCTCTACCCCGTGCACGAGTTTCAAAAAGTTACCTTAGCTACCAGCGCTTTGAGGGGCCAAGCGCTTAACTGGTTCAAATGTATCGGCAGAAGTCTCTTGGGTCAAGCAGGAAGTCCCACCTATACTTACGAAAATTTCAAGACTGCCCTACTAAAAGCCTTCCCTGTTGTAAGGGATCGTGCGAAATTAGAAACAGAACTTTTCAGTATATATCAACAAAGAATGGAAAACCTCTCGAGCTTTATTTTAAGAAAAATTCACGTTTTCAAGCTCTTGTATGGAAACCGTCCGGATCCTGAAATAATTCAAGTGATTTTGCCGAGGTTACTACCCCAAGTGCAAGACTTTATTGAATTGAGAAATCCGACTACACTGGAAAAATTATTTGAGCTAGCAATCCAGTTTGAAAGTAGAAGAACGGCGGACGTCGAAAGAAGACGCCAATATCAACAGCGAAACCAATTTGGTACGCCAAGACTACAGCAAACTCAAGCACATGGCTACGGAGAGAAAAAAGCGAATCAGTGGGCAAGGAAACCCGAGCATTCAAAAACAGCCGGCGAACGTCGACAGTTCAATAGCAACCCAGGAAAAAAGTCTCAAGGCCAGTGGAGAAAAGAAGGAAAGCACCGAAAGAAAAAATAATTTAAACTAAAACGGATTTCTGCTGACGAGAGGGTGCGGAAATCCGAAGGCCACGAAAACCCCTCTTCCTACAAGTTAAATACAGTAATGGTGAAAAATTTAACTCTTCCGAAGATTGAAGTCTTGGTAAATAATATCCCGGCCACCGCACTCCTGGATACCGGCGCGCAGTGTTCCTGTGTGGCAGAAGTCTTTTTTAGAAAGTATTTTCGCAAATACCGCATATATAATGCGGATAATACAACAGTATTAGCGGCGCAAGGAGAACAATGTAAGTGCGTAGGTAAAGTACCTTTGTACATCCGTATCAAGGACGAACAAGTAAAGGTGATGTTTTTTATAGTAAAGAATTTGCAAGCACACTTAATACTAGGAATAGACTTTCTTTCAGACGCACAAGCTACACTGGATTTTAATGAAGCGTCCTCTTAAGCTGACGATGAAACCAGTGCGTGTAGAAAAGGTTGAACCGCCAAGGTTAAATCTTCGACCACCTGCCTAATGACGAGCAAGATAGAATCCGACAAGTGGTAAGTGAATTTGCTTCCTTATTTAGTGATATTCCAGGATTTACCCAGGTTACTAACCATAGTATTGACACCGGAGATGCATTGCCGGTTCGTCAAAAACCATACCGGTATGATAAGAATAAGGAAAAAATTATAGAATGGCATATTACCGATATGCTACGTAAAAAGATCATAACGCCTATCTCAAGTAGTTATGCTAGTCCGGTGGTTTTATGTAAGAAAAATAATGATTATCCTTTGGAGCATCCAAAAAGGTGGAGATTCGCTATTGATTACCGTAAATTAAATTCCATAACGAAATATCCGGTATATCCGTTACCGATTATAGAAGAAATTTTAAGGAACATAAAATCAACCAAATTTATGACGACTTTAGACTTAACGAATGGTTATTTTCAAATAGGGATCAGGCCTGAGGACGTGCCTAAGACTGCTTTTATAACCAAGTCTGGCACTTATGCATTTTTGCGAATGCCGTTTGGCCTTTCAGGCGCCCCAGCAACATTTCAGCGATGCATGGACATTGTGTTAAGACCTGTTCTTCGGAAAGTCCACATTTATCTATTTAGACGATATCATTATTACTAGTGATAATCTCGACCAACATGTACAGGATTTAAGACAGGTGTTTTTCTTTATTAAATGAGGCCGGTCTAAAAGTTAATGTCGAAAAATGCAAATTTGCAGCCCCTGAATTAAAATATTTAGGTTACAAAATATCGCAAAAAGGGATCGAGACAGATGAATCAAAAATAATCGCTGTACAAAAGTATCCGACTCCAAACACGGCAAAGAAGCTCTCTTCTTTTCTAGGACTTTGTTCATATTATAGGTCCTTTATAAAAGATTTTGCGGCTATCGCTGAGCCATTGTTAAAATTAAAAAGGAAAAAGGCAAGATTCTCGTGGACGGCCGAAGCCAATAGTGCTTTCGAAAAATTAAAACAAGCATTAACGCAAGCCCCTGTGTTGAAATTTCCTGAAAAGGATGAAAATTTAGAAATTTCAGCGGATGCTTCGGATTATGCGGCGGTAGGAGCGGTACTTTCGCAAAATCAGCAGCCCAGTGGCATTTTTTAGCCGAACTTTAAATCAAACACAAAGAAACTATTCCGCGACCGAGAGAGAGGCACTTGCAGTTCTGTTAGCAGTGCAAAAGTTCCGAGTCTATTTTGGAAAGGCGCCGATAACAGTATATTCTGATCATCATGCGGCGGTAACTAGATTGTACTCTGGAAAAAATTTATCCCCAAGGTTAATAAGATGGGCACTCAAGCTGCAAGAATATAATCTGGTAATCAAGCATACCCCCGGAAAGGAAAATATCGTAGCAGATGCCCTATCACGAATTAAATTAGACGAACAGGGTAATACCGTAAAAGTTGCAATGCTGACAGCGTGTACAATAAATTCCCGAGAAACTGTAATAACCGAACTGGGTAAGGATCCTGAGTTTGGAAGTATTTATGAGTATTTGAAGGATCCTGAAAATTTTAGCCACCAAGATATTGTGGCGATAAGAAATAGGGCGGCCCATTACGAACTAATAGATGGTCTATTATTTTATACAAAAACTACGAATTCCAACAACGAATTTCGACCTGTTATCCCAGCTAGTCTTAGATTAAATATCCTGCAAGAGCTCCATGACAGCCCTTTAGCTTCTCATGCTGGTATTCGAAAAACTACTCAACGCGTACGCGAGGCAGTCTACTTTCCTGAACTGCAAAAGTTAACAAGGGCGTATGTCCAGTCCTGCCCAACATGTCAAGCCGTTAATTATATTAATTTCCGCCCGGCCGGGTTTCTAAATAGTATTAAATCCGAATTTCCAAATGAAATAATTGGCATCGATTTATTGGGCCCTTTCCCAAAAAGTCAGTTAAATAAAAGTCGCTATCTCCTTGTTATGGTTGATCATTTTAGTAAATGGACCGAAATTGTTCCCTTAAAACGAGCCTCCGCGAAATTAGTTACCGATTCTATTTTAAATAAATATATTTTAAAATACGGGGCGCCCCTAAAAGTTATATCGGATAATGGTCCTCAATTTGTAAGTAATATATTTGAAGACATGTGCCAAAAACTGGGCATACGTCATTTAAAAATGGTCCCGTATCGGCCGCAATCAAATATAGCGGAACGGGTCAACAGAAATAAATATAGTGAAAATTATCCGTAGTTATGTTAAAAATTTTCATAAAAGCTGGGATAACTATGTCAATGAATTTGCTTTCGCCCTTAGGACCGCAAAACATGATACAACGGGCAAAACTCCTGCTGAGTTATTTCTAGGCAGAAAGATTATAACACCGTTAGATAAATTATTTTATGTGCAACAAAGAGCCCCAGAATTTAAAATGGGTGATATAGAAAAACTAATAAAGAAGCAAAAAAAAGAATACGGAAGTAGCACAAAGAAAACAAAAATTGTATTATGACTTGAAACGACGGGGAGTAACTTATAAAGTAGGGGATGAAGTACTAAAAATTAAGCATTCACTTTCTTCAGCACCAGAAGATAAAACTGCCAAATTTTTTCCACGCTTTGAAGGACCATATGTTATAGAAAAAATAACTCACGCTGTTGTAGTGTTAAAGGCCAAGAAATGGTGAAACCTGTTCCGCAAACATT